GTAATTTTTGAAAAAAAATTAAAAAAAAATGTTTTTTTAGTTTTAGACACTACCCTTATATTCTCTGTGTAGTGATTGGTTGCTGAGTTATCGGTGATTAAAGAGAAAAGGATCTTTATTTATTTAAAGTCAGATATCTTAGCGACAAATTGACGTAAAAAGAATATGAAACAAGCGTATTAAAAGTGAACGAACATGTTATCCGGTCTATGCATTGACTTAACTAAAAAAAATTCCGACGTCCATGGACCACAAACAAAAACAAGAAAATTTAGATTTTTTTCTCACAATATTACTTAGGTTGCGTGGTAACCGTAGCACAGAAAAAATTTTTGCAAAAGATCTCAAAACTAGAAACTTGAAGCTTATAATAGTTTTTTTTTTAAATCTAGATACAATTTTTAGATGAATTACAGTCTTTCAAAAGTCACCAAAAAATTTTGAAAAAATTTTTGTTCCTTTAATTTTTTGGAGTAGTGAATTTTGGTGTTTCATTATTCAACTTACTTTATCGTTAGATTCCGCTTCTTCCGATTTGCAACTCTCTTCGATCATCTTGATGATCCCTTCGGGATTTGGTGCGAAAATGGCACACGTCACAACGGCATTATGAGCCTTGATGGCCTCCCAAAAATCGTTCCGATCCCTCCTCACCGACGAAAATTTCGCATAGTCGTGGTTAGTCTTCCAAATGTATATATCCCTATTTTCCGACCCACTCACTATATATTTGCCATCGTGGCTAAAACTCGCCTTAATCTGACTACTCATATTTACATATCCTTTGTATTTGCACGAGACGTTCAAGTCTCTCAAGTCGTACAACCGAATTCGACTATCATTCGAAGTGACCAAAATTTTATCCTCTCCAGGCATTGGTTCTATGCCGCTGATTTTGCGGCCGGTGGCGTTTCTACCACGGGAAGATCTGACATGGATTTGGGTATGATATTTCAATTGATCGGTGATATAAAAAATGCAACGGCCATCGTAAGTACCCACAACGGCAAATTTACCGTTCTGGCAGAAATTTGCCGCGGTTATTAGTTTCGGGTTGCCTTCGACTTCGTTCCAAACGGCTACTTTCTTGTCAGGGATGTTCCATAGGCGCAGTTTGCCGTCTAGGGAACCGCTCAAGAAGTATCTGAGGAAAGAATTGTTTTCCAAAATGCTTTCACAATTTACTAATTAAAAAAAAAAAAAAATACAGTCGCGGATAAAATCTGTTGAGGTTCTCTGGCTTTAAAACGTACTTGTTGAAATATTTAAAAATTTTCTGCGATATTTAACCTCAAATTTTGTTCCAACTAGAAGTTCAAAGCAGTACGATTTTCAAAAATGTGACATTTGCTACCGTTTTTTTCATCAACAAAATTACTTCAGATGGACACAATCTGTCATTTTTTGAGTTCTTTTTAAAATGGAGTTGAAATAGACGACAGATATAAGAATGACTTTATTATTTGTTTTAGCAAAATCGATTTAAGCGAGTTTCTGGCTCATTTATTGATGTTTTCCTAATTAAACGGATATTTGGATCGAATTTTCACTCAATAGGACAAAACCTGTAAATTTCCATTATCATTTTCGATTACTTTTCCAACTAAATGTTAGAATAAAGACTGTTTTTTCTTTAAATGAAAATTACCAAGTCAAAATTTTGGTGAAAAAATTGGTACCAACTTGTCTTCACAGTCACAAATTTTCTTTGCTATTTGTTTTTGTCCCTAGAAATTTTGTTAAAAAATCTGGTGTAAACATCACACGACTTTCCTTATCCTACTTATTTGGAAAACATCCTAATAACGATAAACATTTAGTGTAACCTTAGCGTTAGTGCCATCGGCCGGATTATACGCGAAATAGATCATAGTTATCGCGGGTTCGAGTCTGGGGTGCAGTTTTTTTTAGTTCGGTACCTACCCATTATTATTATTATTTTATAACATTTTACTGTTTAATAAAGTTTATTCATGATTCTCAATAATTTGTGTCCCCATATTGTATCTACAACCGTATAATTTTGAGGGCCGCTTTACGACCGACTTTTGGTTTTTGCGGCCGAATGGTGTGACCGATTTTTACCAATTGTTTCGTGCTACGTCCCCTTGCTACAAGTAACTTACATGCCAACTTTCAAGTTTCCAGCTCTTATCGTTCGGATATGCTGTTTACAGACAGACACACACACACACACATACACACAATTTTTTGCTAAAAATTGCGTCTACATTTTAACGAGCCCTTTTTCTACCTTCCTGCTTGCGAACTATTCGTTTCCAAATTTCTAAAACTGTTAGCGGTACCGAATTTGTTCCTTTTTTGGTGTTTCGTCTCTAAATTTTCGTAGACGATTTTTTGTATTGACGTTTAATGACATTGTTTTCAAATTGAAACTTCCATTTCTTTTATTAAAATTACCATGAATGAATTTACCAGTGGTGCTAACATTAAGACTGTTTGGCATTTCCATTAAAAAAAAAACAGACTTTAGTTATTTTTGGCCTTGACAACTGTAACTGACATTTAACACATTTTTGACAGCTGCGTATCTAATTTTTTGTACTCATTGCTTGGATACAGAATTCTTCTATTTATTCTCGATGTTCCAGCACTGGCGTGTTTTTTACTTTGCAACAAGAACTAGGGGAAATCGCGTTGTACAGGGTGCTGCATTTTGGATGTCCGAATAGGGAATCTCTGAAACTATAAGGTTTAGCCAAAAACGAGTGATACATTCTGGGGCTCATTTTTTGAGAAAATAATATTGGTGAAAACCGCATCCCTCTATCGTCTTTTGTTTTCGACTTATAGACAAAAATTGACATTTTAGCGAAATCTAAAAAAATTCATATCTTTGTTATTATAGAAGATACAGATTTGAAACAAATACAGGCACTTTTTCACGTAGAATTTAATAATGTTGTTAACAATTTTTTTCAGTTATTTGTTTAGACGTAATAAGATAAACTTGTAATTTTTTAAATGGAAATCATAGATGGCTATGTAATTTTTAAAAAGCTTGTTTTTTTCTTATCTAAAAAATATATATTTGTAACAGATTGTTATGATACATTTTTAGGAAAAAATTATCTTTGATTTTGTTCGCAGATGGTCATGAAAAAATGTTGCATCATCAATTAGAAGGATTTAAACTATATTATTCAACAAATGTCACTAATGAAAGAGTTTTCTAAACACTAAGTAACAAAAAAAATGCAAAATAATTCGTAAATCAAATTATTGGCGACTAATAACATTTCTTTGTTTTTAAATAAGCTAACATTACCATTGCAACTTCTAGTGATCAATAGAGTGTTGTTAAAAAAAGCCGCTTTAATTCTTCAATAAAATATATTTTATATGACACAAAAATGACGATATGGCTATTCAAATACCCAAATTCCGTCTAAGTGGAACGTTTTCCTACCTCCATTAGACCATCAAAAAATGTTTTTCTAATTGTCTTGACTGTGGACACATTTGTTTTTCCTATTTTTGGATTTTTTAAAAATATGTAATAATTTTGTTCTGAGGCGCTCGCATTTATTTGTTCAATACTTCTAACGTATTGTATTTTTTAAATTTTTATAATTTTACCTATTTTTTCATCTATTTCACAGTTCACAAAACTCTGATTGATTATTATTTACACATTTGGAGTGAAATAGTTTTTCCATGACCAACTATTATCAAACAAAATATGTATTTTATTTTTTAAGTATAATTATAAACAATATTCTGTTACAAATATATATTTTTTATATCAGAAAAAAATAAGCTTTTTAAAATTGCCATACTCGCCTATGATTTCCATTTAAAAAAATACAAGTTTATCTTATTACGGCTAAACAAATAACTGAAAAACATAGTTAACTACATTATTAAATTCCTCGTGTATTAAAGTGCCTGTGTAATGTCTTTATTTCAAATACGTATGTAGTATAATAACGAAGATATGAATTTTTTTAGATTTCGCCAAAATGTCATCTTTTGTCTGTAAGTCGAAAACAAAAGACGATAGCGAGATGCTGTTTTGACCACTATTACATTCTCAAAAAATGAGCCTCAGAATGTATTTCTCGTTTTTGGCTTATCCTCTTAGTTTCGGACATCCAAAATGCAGCACCCTGTACGGTTGGTATTATGGCACGTTTTTCCATACCTTGATCGGCTTTTTTAATTTCTGGCGGCATCAAAATTTCGTCAGAACCCATTTTCGTAGAAATATACTTACAAAATTACAAAAGAAAATGGCGCTAGTGTTAAAATTTTGTTTGCATAAAACCATAGTAACGGACAGGGCTACCAACTCACCAAATATTATATGACTAAATACGGTTAAATTATCTTTTTTTAAATAATTTTGAGTTATTCGTTACAAAAAACCTTGAACCCAACTCTTTCGGAATAGTATATTAAAGTACCAGTTGCAGAAGGTATCTATGCAAGCACAAGTTTGAAATTCCGAAACGAGCCGCGTAGCGGCGAGTTGAGGAACAAATGAGAGCTTGAAGAACCTTCTGCAACAAGTGCATTATACTATGGAAATGAATTGTGAAGAAAGTCCGTCACTAAAATTAAATTAACGCCAACGACTTATTCCAGCACTCAAATGACGTCATTTGAGTGCTGGAATAGACTTATTGCCTTTTTTTAATTTAAAAATGATATAAAGCGGCAAAATAGAAAAAAATAGTATAAAGCACTTGTTGCAGAAGGTTCTTCAAGCACTCATTTCAAATTTGTGCTTGAATAGATACCTTCTGCAACTTGTACTTTAATATACTATTCCCGCAATCGCATTAAATGCAAAAAAAAAACAAGTGCTCATGCGGGAAAATTGTCTTTCCGAATCTGAACATTTTCATGCAGGACGTGAAACATAACCTCACTTTCTTCCTTTCTTGGGAACAATGATAGAAGTTTTGAAAAGACTGTTTTCTGCAAACTTCAGAGCCAGTACAATTTGCTATCTACAACCAACATTGCACAAGATCTCAAAAACTATTTAAGAAATTAATCTCGCTATAGATATACATATAAGTGAGAGAGAAACCGTTCAACCTCGGAATTCCAAATTATTATTTTTGTGTTACTTGGTCACAAAACCCACCTGTCATCCCTCGGATGAAACACAATCGCCGTAACAAAATCAATATGTTGAAAACAACACAAACATTCCTTCCTCGAAATATGCCACAACCTAACCGTCTTATCCATCGAACTTGATAGTATAAAATAATTCTTCGACCATGAGACATCCAACAAGTCACTTGTATGCCCTGTATATGTACAAAACGGCTTCGGCATAAACATCATCTTGCCACACTCCTCCGAATTCATTGCTTCCAAAACCGCCAAATTACTATTTTCGCTCGAATGATGCGAAACTAGCGACTCTTGTGACGGCGTTGGTGACACTTTCTCAGCGTTATATTTCGTCCGCATGTCTTGGAAGAAGGGAAAAGCGTCGCGAACAATCCAAATCCGCAACACTTTATCTTGGCCGGCTGTGGCAAGTAGACGACCACAACAGGAGAATTTCATACACCAGATGGGGCCCTCGTGTTCGTCTTTGAGCTCTTGGACATGCTCGACTTTCTCGAACTCGTAGGGGCCCTTATGCGAATTGGAAGCTTTGAGTTTGATTGTTTGCTCACCAGGGTTGACAACATCGACTATATCAATAGTGTCCTCCTTGTGTCTCGCATGGGAAACTTCCTGCGCTATACTTTTGGCTTTATGCATTGTTTTCTTCATCGCAGTACCGACGAATTTCTTCAACATGGCTGTCTTCTTCCTCATTCGACTCACATCTTCATTATCGTCAACGATCGGGATTTCAATCTTCTTCTCTTCACTTTCTTCATCCGATTCTTTCTGTTTTTCCATACTCGAACTACTCACATATTCGGATGTTAATCGCATTATGTGTAATGATAAAGGGTTGATGCATTGGGGTAACTTGTCCTCGGCTACGCTCAAAGGGACTCTCTCACCGGTATCTAGATTGAGCACAGTCACTTGTTCCAAAATCTCGAAATCGGATAATTGTTTTCCAGAGTCGGTGTGAGTCCTAACTTTCAAATTCGCATCTTTTAACATATTCTCATCACCGGCGGACTTGCGACGTTCTTTTGTACTCCGATTGTGCGACTGGTGAGTCCCTCTACACAACATTAAAAAAAAAACTAGTTTTAACTGTTAAGTTCGGATTTTGGATACCTAAAGACTAGGATACGACATAGATAGTTTCGTTTAGTGAGACCAGATAGCGCAGTTCCTTTCCCGTTTAAGTTTTAAGAGCAATGAAATAAAAAAAAATGGTTGTATTTACATAACGGTGAAAAAAACGCAAATAAAAAAATATAGACAGAGCATTAAATTCTCAGTAATAAGAGAGAAAAGTAATGCACAAATTTTATTGAAAACTATACAGGGTGCGCCAGAACTCGCGCTCCAAAGAAAAATGCCATATAAGGTAAGGTACCAGAAACATGTAAAAACTGTTAAAAAAATGTTATCTATAAAAATTACAAAGTTATGAGGGTTTAACTTTTGCACTTTGACTCTATTTATTTCTGTTAGAAAAATAATTTTCCAAGTTTTTTTGCTATAGGCTATTAAAAGAGGAAACAAAGAAGCTGTATCCTAAATTGGAATTCTGTTCAATGTTATTTGTGGCTTTTATTAGCAAAATTTTTGTACCTTTACTAAATAATTGTAAAAAAACATATACAAGATCATCAGTATCATTAAATATACATAAAAAACTGTCAAATGGCAAAAAACAAATGTCAAAATTTTTTGACAGATTATATCTATTTAATGATACTGATGATCTTGTTTATGTTTAGAGTCAAAGTTCAAACTTTAAACCCTTATAACTTTGAAATTTTTATAGATAAAATTTTTTTAACATTTTTTTCACGTTCCTAGTATGTTACCTTACTTGAAAATTTTCTCTCGGGCGCGAGTTTTGGCGCACTCTGTATATTAAATTGTGATTATAATAAACAAGCTTGCTCAAATTATCAAATTACAAATACATAAATTTATGTAAGAAATGTATTTTGCAAGTATGCAGTATGTTCCCGGATTGAGTTTACAAGAGGAAAAAAAATACCTTTGATTTTAGGCCAAAACTGCAAAGGAAAAATATTTTTAGCTTGACTTGACTTTTAAGGTTCTTTATCTGCAGCTTTCAAAAATCAAGTTTTAAATGCCAGATTTTTCTATCATTTATTTCTATCAAGTTATTTCTTTGTAATCAAAATTTTGAACTTAATAATACATTTTATAATAGCCAGTCAAAAGGAAACAAATTTTTACCTTTGATTTTAAGCCAAACACGCAAAGGAAGTACTTTTTTTTCTGTAGATGTTAAACTATTTCTTTAAAAACTCTTTTGAGTAGATAAAGTAACACTTTAACAGCAAGGGTTGTTTTTGCTTTATCTGAAACGAGCAAATCTGTAATTAAAACTTCATTATTCTGATTCAGTGGAAAGAAAAGTTAATTTCTTTCTTAATTTTGGACTTGTAATTATAATCTTTCTTTGCTTTTCAAATCTCATCACATTGGCGATTTTATTTTTTTGACAACGATGTCACTTTGACAATTAATTAATTAATTGAATAATGATTATTTTTGTTAAAAATGATGTTTTTTTGAAGCTGTTTTTTTGACTTGTCATTTATTAAAAAATTTTTTTTACAAACATTTTTGTTATTTAACTTGCGTTAACTCACTTGTCAAATCGACAGAAAAATAAAACGCCAATGTGGGATTTAAAACGCAGAGAAAAAATTACACTAGTTTACACGATTTTAATGCCTTAGCAGAAAGTTAATTTCTTATAGATTTTGAGGCACTGAGTTAAAAAAACTATTTAAAAAAGTCCACCACGTTAAGTTTAAGAAATATGTAATTAACAAAAATACAAAAACCGACAAAAAACATATTAAAAGTGAGTTATTTTACTTGGTTTTATTATACTTTTTGGATTAGTTTTCTTTATAACAATCCAAGAGTAATCTACTAACATATTTTCATCCCGAAAACCTTCGTGTCGATCTTTGAAAACCCTTCAGATCTTGATGAAAACGCTGTTTGTCACTCATGCTCCCTAAATTTTTATAAAAGAAGTCCAAATGTGAGTGAAATGTTTTTAAGACCTATTTAAACCCTTATAGTAATAATTTTGCAATAATTCAGCAACAATTTGAATTTAAATAAATTTTAAATCGGAGGCATTTGTGCAGAAAATAGGAAAATTATCGTCTGTAACAAAAAAAGTGTGACAGTAATAGAAAAATTTAACAATTATTTTTGTTTAATAAAAGGTAAGTTAACATAAAAATAATAATTCGATTAAAGGTCGTATTGTTTGTAGACTATAGTGTTATTAGTTATTAGAAGCTCAAAATCAAGAGAAAAATTAAATTTTCTTTCCACTGAGTGATAATAATGAACTTTTAAAATTACAGACTTACTGGTTTCGGGAAGCAATAAATGTTTTTCTTTTGCAGTGTTAGCGTAAAATAAAAAAATCCTTGAACATACTGTATAATATTAGTTACTACAAGTACAAGAAAAATAGAAAAAGAAAGAAAAAAAAATAGAAAGAAAAGAGAGAGTAAAATTTTCAAGAAAAAGTCCGCAAGAGATATCTCTAACTTCAATTGTTTAGCTCCTAAAGATGTTCAAAGACGCTCAAGTGACGGATACGTGTCATTTTACCGGTGATCAAGAGACAAAAAATTAATTTAAACCTAAACGGTTGAACATAGAGATATGGTCTCACGGACTGTTTACTAGAAAATTTTATTCTCTACAACTTTCTTTCTTACATTTTTCTTGTATCTTCAACCGTATTCGCAGCATTTTGAAAAACATGAAACGGCGCAAAAATTTTAAATATTTTTTTCTCATATTTCTTGTGAAAAATTTAGTCGTTCGTTTTTCACAGCTTATTAAGAATGTAAAGCTCAACATTTTTCCATTTTTTTCTTAGCAATTAGTAGACTGGTTGAATTTAAATTAATTTAAAAAGATTTGAAACTGAGACGGTAAAACGATCTAAGCGCCCTCACTTTTACTCCGCCGTACTACTTTTTTCGTCTCCGTAGTTCTGATAAAAGTGGCCTGTGACTTTAAAATTAATTGACAACACTGATAGTACTTAAAGTCATAGGCCACTTTGCTTGGAGCAAAAATGTAAATAGATACCTGTGAGGTCCCAGACTATAGTGTCCCACACTTGACCTCGTGGACGATCCTCTCGGACTCGCCCCTTGGGCCACTTCAGCCTTGACCTTTCCCACATCCCCGGCCTTTAAACTATCATTATCTTGGGGTTTGACCACAAATTGACCCTTCAAGGCCTGCTTGATATCCAACGAATGCCCTGACCGTAGCGTCGAACTCTTTGATTCGCTTTCAGAAGGTAACCGATCGAGCGAATGTTCAAATTCGCGAGTCAAAGACTCGATGGTGCTTGCAGGACTAGCCAGATCAGAGGATTCGAAAGTCGCACTCGATGCAGATTTCTGCAATACCGACTTGTTAGTATGTAATTAGCGAAAAAAAGAAGAGTTTGTTACTTTGATTTGGAGAGCTGCTTTATTTTTCTTTTTGCGGCGTGGGGGCGCTACTGGTGCCGTATTTTGATCGTGCGATGAAGGGGCTTTTGTGCTTGCGATTACGTCTGGTTCTTGGAGAGGAAGACTGGACTTTTCGGAAGTTAGTGTTGCGTTACTGGGGTATTGGGATATGCCTTTCGAGCTGGGGGTGGAGCCCGAGTCAAGGGAGCTAGACGAGAGGGCCGATACGGAAACGGCCTTACGACCGCTTTCTGTCATTAAATCAAAAACAAAATAGAGAAATAAAAGCAAAACAAAAGTATTACCGCCTTCCGCAATCCCTCCCAAAATTCGAGTCAGCCTCCCCAAAGAGTTGATACTCTGCAAACTGACAGTATCCTGCTCTATGATCCTGAAAGGATGGGAGGTTTTATTGGAGGCGGCAAAAACCCCCTCCACTGATGATGTTTGGCTGTTGGGGGGCGTTACATTGCTTGTTTGACAATCCTCATCATCATGTTGCAGTTTCTGTCTTAATTCTTTAAATTTGCGACGCCCTGCAAGCGGTGTTCTCTTCTGGGGTTCAATCTACAAACACCATATGTTTTTTGAGGTTATGTAACACACTTCACTTACAAAAACAATCTCGTTGACTGATTGGAGCTGTCTTTCATCTTGACCTGGGGGCACCGTTGAGACATTAGGTTCCGAATTCGCCCTATGTGTGAGACTTTCCTTGGAGCTTTTGCGATTTTTTCTGTAAAATTTCCAGATACTTAAATATCAAGTGGGCAATAGCATCTGTCAAGAGGCATGTGTTTCAATTGTTTTTTGTTGTCGTGAAGTGTAAATAAAGTGGTGTTGTGGTGGTTCAAAAGTGGAGAAATGAAAGTCTTCCTGGAGGTAAAAAGTGTTTGAGGCGTACCTTGGACCATGACTAGGTGTTAGGTCTTCGGCGTCATAGAATTCCTCCGAGTCGCTGCTGCTGGACATTGTCTCATGAACAACACGTCATTTCGGGGCGTTGTCACGGGGGGCACTCGCTGCTTTCGGCGCCCTACAAATCCAATGACAACGTTTACTTTTAAAGATAAATGTGATTACGCACAGCGCCGCTGGAGCTGTCAATTTGACGAACTAGTCATGGTCACGTTGAGGTGCCAGGGCAGTGGCGGCGCAACGGGGCTGTGGTAGAGACTGCTCAAAATTCCTCTCCGAGACTAGAAACTTTCATAAAATTACGACAAAATGACTCGGTTTTCTGATTGGTTCAGAAATATGACGTGGTTGCTAGATGCACGAATCACAAAGCAGATAAATTTCAAATCTTGCACTGACTTTTAACTGTTTTAAGAGCTATAATATGTATTCAACTATATTTGTATTTTTTTTTGTTAAATTTTAAAGTACATAATATGGGCGCGTATACAAAGTGTTTCAGAACTCCCGTCCCGAGAAAAATGCCAAGTAAGAAAAGACACCAGAAACACAGATTAGCAGCTAATCTGTACCAGAAACATGAAAAAAAAAAGTACCTATATTAAAGAACAAATTTTATAAGGGTTGATCTGGAGCACGAATCCCAAGTTAGAAAACGAGCCGTAGGCGAGTTTTCTATAGAATGAGTGCGCCAATGCCATTATAAAACGAGTATTTTATGCTATTTTTTCTAATTTGCGCCCCCTTTTTTCTTATTTTAATTAAAAAAAATATTTTTTTGCCGTCTAGAGAATTTTGTCTTAGTTGGTATCGGTTGGTAACACTCGGCGCCCACCTGATTTTTTGAATCATTTCTGCCGTCTGTCATTAAAAATAAAATTTACAAATTACATATTAGTTAATAGTGTTACAACATAATAATAATAAAGAAAATATGAGCCAACAGAATTTAGTTTACACTCTGCCCGAAATTCGCGAAATTGCCGAAGCAACAACGCAAAATTTGTTGCTTGACAAGTTAGAAGCGGCATACAAAACTAAATAACCCTAAATTCATTAAAGTACAGTGTGCTTTTATAGATAGCCAAAAACGACTCCTACTTAGAAACGTTATTATAAACGCAAATTAGAAAAAAATAAATTTCGAAATTATGGAGGGTTAAATTTAGCACTTTGACCCTATTTATTTCAGTTTTTGCACCTTTATTGAATAATTATGAAAAAACACATACAAGACTTATCAGCAACATTAAATAGACATAAAAAAACAAATGTAAAAAAATGTCAAAATTTTTTGACAGATAGTTAAACATTTTTCCATGTTTCTTATATTATTTCTTCTTATTAGTTGTTATTTGGCATTTTTCTCTGGGGCGCCAATTCTGCTGAAATATTCTGTCGGTTGTAAGACCACATGAGTTACCATAGAGTGACGTCGCTATGACACTCGACATTGAATGATATATGGAGTACGAACTAGTAGTAGTAGTTTAAATATTTGCGAAAATATTTTATTTACAATATTTTGATAAATTTAACAGTTTAAAGGATGAAATGTGACAATTTTGATAAATAATGAATATTCACATTTTTTTTCTATTTAAGTATAGCTCATTTCCCAAACAAAAATAGTAAAAAAAATAATTATTAAAAAGACCAACAATATATTCTGTGATTAGAAAATACAAATAACTTAAAAAAAAAACATTGTTTTTATAAACCCTATATTTATTAAACTGAATTCAGTTAAATAATTGAATTAATTAAGCAATGTTTTAATTTTTTTTTGTTTATACAGGGTGATTTATCTCAGCTCCGGTCTTTTGTAGCTCAGTTATTAATTAAGTGGGAATTTGTAGACTTTATTTATATTCTAGAGCGCATTTCAGGAAAATATTTTTGATTATAAGATAAAAAATAGGTTGTTCTATTTAAATTATTATTATTAAAGTTATTTAACTTTTAAGAAACTTCGAAATTTTTTTAACTTTTCGACGAATACATTTATTTAAAAAAATGTTATAGTCTTCAAATTCGTACTTTCCTCTTTATAGTAGTAAAAATTTTTTTTTAGCTGTTTTAACTTTTTGTGTAATAAATTTTTAAAAAGAGGATGTTTTTGGCAAAAAAAACAACTTAATTCAAAAACTAAGCAAAATTGACCAATAGAAGTTTAGCTTAAAAACATTGAAATTAAAAGCTACATTTAAAAATGCCAAGAAACATATGGTGTTTCATTAAAAAAAACATAAGTTTGTATGGTATCTTATTTTTGGGCCACCCTGTATAATCAATAATATTTTTCTGAAATGTGTTCTAGAATATAAATAAAGTCTACAAAATATCAAAATTCCCGCCTAAATAATAACTGAGCTACAGAAGACCGGAGCTGAGACGAATCACCCTGTATATTTTTTATAGTTTTTGTTCTTATAAAGTCTGATTTCAGCCACCATATAACCTAAAATTTTAGTACTTATGACGATGTTCTTTTATAACTATTCTCCAAATTAATTAAAAATAACAGATTTTTTTCTTTGTTTTTATTTCCTATAGTTTAGTCCTAAGTTTTTTAGTACTTATGATAATTTTCTTTTATTTTGAAACTGTAAAATTTTACAAATTAATTAAAAATAACAGATTCTTATTTTCTATAGTTAATATCGACTTTATAAAAAGTTCGTTTGCTGTAACTTAGTCTTTGGCGTAAAAGCTAATGGACAAACTTTCCACTTGGTGGTTTGTTACTATTTTTGTTCGTGGAATGAACTATAGTTACGAAAAATTTGGCCACTATGTTTACTATTTTTTTTAGTTTGCTCCCTTATTGGTGTCTCTTGCGCCGCCACTGCTCTCTCCGATTTTCGACCAATCAAATTTCGCCGTTTCGTATCTGTCACTTAATAAATTTCTTTTTGTTAGAGTGGCAGCAGTGCGACTCCCTCTCGGCTCAAGGCTGTTTCCTCACCCAAGAACAAAACCAACATGGAGGACCTGGCAGTGGAAGTATGCGGCGAAAATGGGGCCCTTTATAAGGTCTGTACCACACAAAGTATGCTTTTGCCATCCCATCATTGCGTTCCCGTCCATTGTCCATGTGTCGATGCTTGTGCACGAGCCTCCGCCACCTGCTTATGCCTCATACTTCTCGAGAAAAATCCCGAAATCTTGGAGTTGCAAACGCGGTTCTTTTGACGCCATGACCATCTGACAGGGCGTGAATTTTCCATGTGTAGCGATTTTTCATTTATATCGTGATTTTCCCTTTTCCATCGATCGATTCGTCCGGATTTCATGAGATTTTCCTCAAGGAAAATAGCAGGAATCACGCGTTTCGAGGCAAGGTTATGTTCGAATTTGTGTATGAGCTAGTATCATGTTACCAGTGGTGGTGGTTGAGAATTTCTGTGAATTAAAATGGGCGTTTTTTTGCAGGGGTACGTCGTTGATGTGTTTGAAGACTCCGTTCTTATACATTTTGAGGATGAGTAAGTAAAATTTCTCATTTTTTTACTTAAAATTAAACGAGATTTCAATTAGGTGGCAACCGGATTCAAAATTTCCCTTTTCTCAAGTTCGTCTGCCTCCAAAACCTGACCCAAAGGTCGAGTTTACTGAAAATATGGAGGTTGAAGTATACTCCAGAGCTAATCATCAAGAGGCTTATGGGTGGTGGAAGTCTAGAATTAAGGTGAGAAAGAAGATACGGTTGTGTAAGCACTTTTTTCTTCTTCTTTGTGATAATGTTATCTTCAGGTTTTTTTCTATTTATTTTGTTTGAATTGAGTAACAATTAGTGGTTTGTAATGACAAGCAAATTACTACACTGTCAAAAGCCTTATCTAGCCAATTGCTTTTGAGAATTTCGATCACGTGATGCGGAAAAAATGCTAGATTTTAAGTTTGACAACTGAAAAATCTGAAATTAAGTTTCGTAAAAATAAATTGATAAGTTTCATTTGTCGCTCATCTTTTTTAAAGAAAACAGGAAAAATTGTTTGTAGCTTATTTTTTACGTAACGTTTTATTTTCTTAATTGGATACGCTTTTCACTTTTTCTCTCACCGATATTTAAAGATTTTTCACATTCAAGTAAAATTCATATTAGAATGTAACAGAAATTGTAAAAAATGTCGGTCAAAAGTTACAGATCGTCTAATTTTACACATTACATATTAGTTAAAGTTTATTTATAGAAAAAGGACACATCGCATGACTCGTCGAATTTGGAATTTAATTACGTACTTTGAACTTTTCTATAACTATTTTTTACGTGTTTGTTGTATTTGTTATTTGTTCTTCTTTTTTTGGGTCGATTATTATAATCAGAAAGTAATTGAAAAAAAAATCTCTTTTATTATCAAACCGTTGATTTCAGTGCTCAAATAGACATTAAAACACTAGTTTTGAGTACAGAATTTTATAAATTGATTTTTACATTTTTTTTACATAAACATTAGTTTTTATTGTACTGCATTGCTACCAGTAGTCACTAATTTTTTTATGATTTGGAGCATATGATGTTCAGTCAAATGATTATACGTAATTTTCCAAGTGGCTTTTATTGGCAAAATTTTTGTACCTTTACTAAATAATTGTAAAAAAAAACATAACAAGATCATCAGTATCATTAAATAGACAAAAAATATGAAATGTCAAAAAATAAATGTGAAAAATTTTCTAGAGATAGAATTTTTTAAACATTGTTTCCATGTTTCTGGTAGCTTATCTTCCTTGAATTTTTTTTCTGGGGCGCGAGTTCTGGCGCACATGTATACTTGGTATTATGCACAAAATGTTTAGAAAGTTAAATATTCCTAGAATTTAGTGGTTCTTATCGATTTTTTTAAGGTAATAATATATGAATACAGTTACTGGTAAGTTTGTTTAATGTATAATGTTTCCAAAGTAGGTTAAGACATTTTGGAAGGGTATTATTTATAGAAAATATGCATTATTTTTTTATACAATGGCACAGCGAGATACATTTGGTTATTTTTTCAATAATATAAAGTGTTTTATTTATTTATTTATATTTTCAATGCAATGAAGCCTCATTTTGCTCCCTTGTTTACCAGATGATGAAAGGCGACTTTTACGTGTTGGAATATGTCGGTTGGGAGACAACGTACACGGAAATAGTCAGCGACGATCGTCTTCGCGTCAAAAATTCTAATCCACCGATTGATAGTTCGATGTTTGTCAAATTCGAAATCGAAGTACCAGAAGACGTCCGCGAGTAGTAAGTTTAAACGAGAATTTTTATGTTGTGTCGTTAAATACATGATATTTTTTTGCAGTGCTAAAATAGAAAATGCACACAAGGAGTTTCAAAACGCTATCGGTGCTAGTCTGATTAGGTACGTTCCGGAAAAGGGTGTTCTTGTAGTGATATCGAGGAATGAGTCGAGTCGCAGATGCGCGCGTCTTGTGCAAGACATGCATTTTCGTAGTTTATCGCAAAAAGTGCTCTTATTGAAACGTACGGAGGAAGCGGCGAGGCAGTTGGAGAGTACGAAGTTGGCGACAATCGGCGGGTAAGCAAATTTTTTCTTCAAAAAAAAAAAACAAAACACTCGGTGAATTGCCTCCAATTCTTGAGCCAAAAGGACGTTTCTTGGTTGTTTATCTGACGATTTTTTTCTCTTTCAGCAAATATAAGCCCATGTACCAGCGAGTCTCAAATTACGAGACCATTTCAAGGTGAGACTTGAAAAACTTGAAAAAAAAGCATGTTTGTAGAATGTGCATTCCTCTTGGCTCTTATCAGAATTTTAGGGGCAATTTACCGGTTTTTATTTTTTGTTTTGATAGCATGTCGTTTTGTTTTGTACGAGGACAAGAGTAGAAAAAATTGTGCATGTCACTCGAGCCGAGGGGTTGTTATTTGTTCATATTGTAATGCGAATATTTCTTATAGGTTTTCCGATGAGTTCAACGTTAGGGAAGATCTGATGGGGTTAGCTATTGGGGCTCACGGTGCCAACATACAACAAGCAAGAAAAGTCGACGGTATTACGAACATAGAACTTGAAGAAAATTCTTGCACGTTTAAAATATATGGAGAGGTAAGAAATTACAGACCAAATAACTTGACTTGACTTTTTTTATTTTTAGACTGATGAGGCTGTGAAGAAAGCCCGATCGATGTTAGAATATAGTGAAGAATCTCTTCAAGTACCCCGGGCACTAGTAGGAAAAGTAATTGGGAAGAATGGCAGAATTATTCAAGAAATTGTTGACAAAAGCGGTGTGGTAGGTTAAATTTCATAGTTGTTGAACCGGTTTAACTGGTTATTCCAGGTCCGGGTTAAAATTGAAGGCGACAATGAGCCTCAACCGACGATTCCTCGCGAAGAAGGCCAAGTACCGTTTGTGTTTGTCGGTACAGTAGAGAGCATATCTAATGCGAAAGTTCTTCTCAAATATCATTTGGCACACCTCAAGGTACTTATTTTTTCGCGAATTGACATTTTTCATAATTTTTTTCTTATTGTTAGGAAGTGGAGCAGCTAAGACAGGAGAAACTCGAGATTGATCAACAACTGAGGAGCATCCACGGCAATGCACTTGGTTCCATGCAAAGTCTCTCGATGGGTCGACGAAACGACCGAGGCTACAATTCGGATATGGACGGAGGCGGACGTCCTGGTCGCGGTTCGATGCGTGGCCGCGGAGGCAGAGGCCGAGGAGGCGGCGGTCCCGGAGGACGACAGAACGACCGCTACAATTCCGGTACTAGTACGATCACTGATTATGTTAATAATGTGGATAAACGCAACACGGCCAACAAACCGATGGGAAACGGCAGAGGCGGTGGACGCGGGGGCGGCGGCGGTCATGCCAGCAGCAACGGGCGACCCCCAAGAGGGGGCGGCGGACCGCCGACGAACAATCGCGAACGACCCAACAAGGGTAGGTTGTCCATCGACTCGGCCGGTGGGGGCGACAGGGGGGAGAGGAAGTGATGGGGGCTGATGATGATACGCCCCATTATAAACACCGGAATGGCTTTATGCAGCACGTCCGGTTTTGTTGTTGTTTTCATTTTCTAATGTTGGTAATGAGGAAAATTTGATTTTTGAGGAACTATGAGTGTTGCATAAAGCCCTATAATTTCATATAAAAACAGTAAAAAAACGTAATGTTCAGGTGACTATAGACTGACCCGGCTGACGACAATTTTTAAACGATTTTTAAAACGACGATTATGCCACGAAATGACTTACCAACTTAAAAAATGAGAAATTTTTTGCTTAATTAACACACTGTCTATTTTTTTTATTTAGTTGAATAACCGCTTAATAACACACTAAACAATTTCAAAATTTATTGTGTAGTAACAAATGAATGGCATCTTTTTAATGTACATAATATTTTGTTTGGTTTCAAATTTTTGTCCCTAATTATGAATCATTGCATTAACAATACTTAATTTTCTCCCTGTCCCTCCCCGTTTTCGTTTTCTTCAGGATTTATTTTTTTAGTTTCCCTTACTTTAATGTTTACGCTGTATTATAGTACAGTAATGTAAATGTAATCATAAATATTGGATTTGTTGCTAGCGAGTATTGTCGCTATTGAAATGTGACTTAATTTCAAGGCTTTGTTGTGACGGTGGGTGCAGAAATGATTGGAAGAAAATCCGTGTAAGAGAAAGCCCGACAAACGTGTAATTTTTGTTGTTTTTCTTTTTGTTCGGTTGATATCTGCACCCTCCCGAATACGTATTGTCAATAAGATAATTAGATTGGTTACTTTAAATAACAGACAAAAGTGACTTAAGTCATATTTTGTTTGTTGTTTGAGCTGACCTAGAAGTTAGTAAACCCCCATGAGGCTTCTAAATATCTCGACAAAAAAATAACCTTGCTGGAAGGGTACGCAAAATCGATTTAGCCATGTGTAGACGAAAAGTGAGTAAGAAAACGCTATGAAACGCGGTTTGTGCTCACTGTGAGTTTGCTAACACACTACTTAAGGAATTTAAATACAAAAATTTGGGCAATAGTGACTGCCATGGCAAAAGACTGGCTCACTAAAAACTTGTGTCACGTATCTAATTAATTGTGAAGACTTTTTTAGAAATATAACTTGATTTAAAAAATGAAAATTTTGGTGTTTTATTGCATTTTTGTTTTTGTTATGAGTATGAGTACGGACTCGTACCCTTCCAGTAATAAGAAAGTCGAGCTGAATTCTTGTAGTTGTACTAACTTGCATGCGCATGCAAAAAGCTTGAAGGGTGTTTGAGTCTGTGCTCACTGAATATTTTTTCTCCTCCCTCCTGGCGTAGTAGTTGGTGATTTGTGTTAGTGGCGGTGTTTATCTGCGGTGCGAGTGTATATTCATGAATCTCGGTTTTGGTTTAGTGAAAATCTTTCTAGGATCGCGTCACCAGACGCCGGAAACAGCCGATGAGCGCGTCAGTGATCTGCCTCCGCGTCATTTCGGAGGTCCTAGAGGGCGTGGTAATCGCAGGGACAACCGCCGGGACGACAGACGTCGCACCACCGACGACGAGGAAACGGTTTTGGACAGTCAGGAGGTATCCAGTGTTGATCGAGGTAAGTCAACCAAAAGTTGAAGGTTTGTAACCGGTTTGAGGGGAGGGTGGAGGTTTAGTGTAGTAAAGATGACTCACTCGGGTTGTCTCAGAGTCTATATCGAGTGCGGAAGCGACTTGGTCAGGTGGTAGGAGTCAGAGGAGGCGTAGACGTCGCGGGAGACAACGGAGCCTCACACCGGTTACCAACGACACTTCAGGTAAATTGTGAGCGGTTTGGTTTAGTTAACCGAATCCAAATGTAACTAACTCAGCTTTTCTAACCCGTCGCAGCGTCATAAAGGTACAATTTTAATCTTGTAACTTATGGTTTTGGTACAACCGGTGGTTAAACCAATGCGTTGTTTCAGTGAATAACGGACAGGCGGGTCCAGCCGGTGGAACCGGAGACCACGTGATGCCGAACGACAGTCACATTGCCGATGGTGCAGCAAATCAGAAGCCACGAGGAGTTGACACGAAGAACCGATCTAATCGGCCGCCGCCAGCTCGCCGTAACGACCCCAAGCCTAAAGAGGCTTTGGTAAACGGCACTACTGCCTAGAGCCACCGTCATTTTGAAAGTGTGCGCATCATTAAACCGCAACCAGAGAGACGTTTTAGTTTCGATTTTTTTCCTTTTGATTTTCTTTTGAGAAAAAATTGATATTGTTGATGTTGTGTTGCATATCTTTTCCCGGTGTAGCAAAAATGTTAAAGTGGGCGGTCGTCTGCCCCATACTGGCCGATACCAGAGTGACTGTTTGGTTCTGTGAACCTCCTCAACATCCTCAACGTTAAGACTGATGTCTTAAGTGTTTAAGTGGTCGCAGCGGGTGAAGAGCTTAGTGCGATTATGGACAGAGTTGATTTATACTTACAACCTCCAAGAATTTTGTGACTACTTTTCTAATCTTTCATACATTTCATGTTTAGCGCACATAAATAATGCTCGAAATTTTAAAACTTTAGTCATTATTCTCTTTGAAACGTGTTGAGAATCTTCACTTTAAGTTTCAGTATATTTGTATTTATGTGTTATTTATTATTTTTTATTTTTTGTTTATAGTTTGTAAGATAAAGTGACCATTTGTACCTTCTACAAATAGTTTACAAGCCATTTTTCTTTTTTTTTCCTTTATTACTGTAATGATACATACAAATGTAATGTAAATAAAGCCTCCTAAATTAAAACTAGCTAATACAGTATTTGGTTAGGTGCTCTGTTTATGATTTGTTACAATGGTTTATCAGCTGTGTATTGGTATAACACATTTTTGCATTGAATAAAACATTCAATAAAAGCCTCATTCAATTATTTACAAAGTCTAAACACTTTGTATTCCTATTTTTTACATTCAAACTACTACAAAATATATTTTCACAAAAAATGCAATTTATAGTACATAATTCTGTACGAACTCGAATATCCTGTAGTTCGTATTATAATACCGCGCATTTCAAGAGTAATAATAAGCCTGACCAAATTTGAACGGCAGCCAGCAATACATCATGGATTTTGATTATGACAAAGAAATTAACAAGACAGGAAACACATTCTTTAAGGTTAATTGTCTTACCACCGTTGGAAAACACTTTAGTTATTCAAGCCTTTTTGGAGCTTTTGTATTAGGAAAACATTGTAGATATAAACGCTGAGATGAGAATCAGCAGATCTGTTTTCTCATTTTTCGAATGAATTTTGACTTTTTGTTAAATTTAATGTCAGTTGTGAAAAAATAAACTATTGGAAGCAAAGCTATCGTGGATTCATAATCAGTTTTTCACACAATACGATATCTGTATATTATGTGTAAAAGTGCAGATAATTCAGTTGAGCCACACAAACTCACTTTTACTCCAGTGCAACACTATAATTAGCAAATAAATGAAGAAAATAGTCAACACGCTTTGCAAGTAATGAAATCATAACAACACTTAAACAAACATCACGTGTCCGTATTGGATTTTTGTTGAGATTTTTTAAAGTGTTTGTTTTAACTAGTGCAGTTAGTAGTGCAAAATAATGAATGGTGATAACTACGGATACCTAAGACTAGGATACGACACGATGTAAAACAAAACGTCCTGGTTCTCGATAGTTCCGTTAGTGAGGCCAGATGGCGCAGTTGTTCCTTACCCGTTTAAGTTTTAAGAGCAATGATATAAAAAAATGGCTGTATTTAGATAACGGTGAGCAAAACGCAAATAAAAAAAATAGACAGATAGAGCATTAAATTCTCAATAATAAGAGATAAAGGTAATGCAAAAATTTTATTAAATACTATACAGGGTGCGCCAGAGAAAAATGCCTTATAAGGTAAGATACCCGGAACATGGAAAGAAAAATTTTATCTATAAAAGTTTCGAAGTTATGAGAGTTTAAAGTTTGACTCTATTTATTGCTGTTGGAAAAATAATTTTCCAAGTTTTTTTGCTATAGGCTATTAAAAGAGGAAACAAGGAAGCTGTATCCTAAATTGTAACTCTGTTCAATGTTATTTGTGGCTTTTCTTGGCAAAATTTTTGTCCCTTTACTAAATAATTGTTAAAAAGCTTATACAAGATCATCAGTATGCTTAAATAGATATAAAAAAATGTCAAATGTCAAAAAATAAATGTCAAAATTTTTTGACAGATAGAATTTTTTAAACATTTTTTTCATGTTCCTGCTATCTTACCTTACTTGAAAATTTTCTCTGGGGCGCAAGTTCTAGCGCACCCTGTATACATAAAGGGTGTTCCGTCTAGACCCCACATTAAAAGTATTGGGAGTACGAATAAACGTATTTATTTGAAAATTGGTACATAGCCATAAACCATTAAGTCCTCCTAAATGAAAAGATTTTGAAGAATTCGGCACTTTCTGTTATACTGGAAGTCGGTCTCAACTTTCTTATTTTAAATGGAAAGCTATATTTTTTACTGTGTTTTTGGATTAATCGTGTTATTTTAACGGAGTTTTTATCAGCTTTCCCTATACCTAAATTTAGCCGTTTTTGAAATATTTGGAGTTTTTCAAAAAATTTTGGATCTGCACCTTTCACTTTAAAAATCGGTAACTCGGCTATTTTTTTAAATATTGAATTCGTTTTTTTTTGGCGTTTGAAAGAGAAAGTTTAGATCTTCCTTTCGTTGTTTACAAATTTTGAAAAAAAAATTAACAAACCATAAAATTTTAAGGTTACTTTTGTAATAATTCAAATACCCATAACTCAATTTTTGAATAATGATCGCATGGTAGAATGATGATTAATATTAATACATATAATAATAATAATAATAATAATAATAAAGGTCTTTATTAATAAATTAAAAGTAATACAAAGATGCGGAGGCGAACTTTGCATAACTTTGATTCTTCATATTTTGGCACTATTTGTCAAATAATAATTTACTGTTGACGTTTGTTTAGAGAAAATTTTGACAAGTCCATAACTCGAAAATTATTAAATTGAGGTATAGGGAATGTTAGGATCTAAGCTTTCTCTTTCAAACGCCAAAAAAAAACGAATTCAAAATCTTAAAAAATGGCAGAGTTACCCGATTTTTAAAGTGGAAGGTGCAAATCCAAAAAAATTTGAAAAACTCCAAATATTTCAAAAACGGCTAAATTTAGGTATAGGGAAAGCTGATGAAAACTTCCTTAACCCGATTAATCCAAAAACACAGTAAAAAATATACCTTTCCATTTAAAATAAGAAAGTTGAGACCGACTTCCGGTATAACCAAAGGTGCCGCCATCTCGAAAATATTTTCATTTAGGAGAACTTAATGCATTATGGCTATGTAGCAATTTTCAAATAAATACGATTATATTCCAACTCCCAATACTTCTCATGTGGGGTTTAGTCGGAACAGCCTGTATAAAATAATTTCAAGCATTTAGCAAATTGCTCCTCGTCTCATATTTTTGAAAATGCTGCGAATACGGTTAAAGGTACAAGAAAAATTAAAAAAAGAAAGTTGCTTCATATAGTGGGGATTGATTGATCATAATTAATAGTTTGTTATGTTTTAGAATAGTTTGTTTATGTCGAGTCACCTAAAAGATTTCAATTCAATAAATTAGTTATTTTAAGAGCAAAAATCGATATTTGATTTATTTTATTTCCGAAAAAAAAGCATCAGTTTATTCCCTGTTGAGGAAAAATATTGAGATTAATTTTAAAACTAAAAAAACAATTGGTAATAAAACCTGAATTAATATACAGGGTCGCTGAAAAGTATGGATACATCTAAATATTTTCAGAATGGTTAGAGCAGAGCACGTGGAAATTTGGAAAACAGTAAGAGGGCGCAGTAAAAACATATGGCCTTGAAGTAGCTTATTTAAAAAATTCCACAGCGCTGCAGTCGATCTAAAATGAATTTATTTTTTAAAAACTTAACAAAAAATCTAGTAGATGGCAGTGAAATCGTTAAACTCATGGAGAGGGTAGTTTACCCTATTGGCTATCTATTAGTCGGGGGCACTACAAAAGGCGTTTATTTAAAAGTTCATCCGGACTCGAGGACACACAATTTTTTTAAAGTTGATTCTCATGTAAAATTTTCTGCTAAGTTCCGGAAATCGTTTTTTGATTTGGAATTGCCTTCACTTTGAAAAATACTTTTTTGTTAAAAAAAAAACTAAAATTGCACAAATGTATCTGTATCAACCCTCTAAATATAGCTAGGAAATTGTTGTTTTTTTTAATCAAAATGTTTCTCAATTAAGATTTAGTTTTGATAAAATAGAACTGAAAAAATTATTTAAGAAAAAATTCTGAAAACTAAACGGAAACAGCAATTCCGCGACTGGCGAAGCCGAATCAACAAAAAAACACACTTTCCAGAATTCCAGTCCACTCCAGACTAGTTGTCTGGCACGAAAGTTTTTCCTAACACGCGAAAAAAAATTCGTTCGTCCTGCATTTTTTTCCTGAGTTTTTTCTTCTGAAACTGCGGCTCTAGTTTTGTTTTGGAGTTCTTAATTGTGAGTGATAAATTATGAGATTTAAAAACAAAAAAAAAAATAGAACAAAAAACGAAATATTGGAGACAAAAACGGTAAGTCTTGCATGTTCTGTTAGTTCTTGCTCTTATTTATACAGAGTGGTTATAAATGATTTTTATTCAGCCAGCTTTGGATTTTTTTTTGCATGTAACTTACTTTTTTGAAAGCTCTGGTTCTGTCTTAGTGTCACTTATTAATTAATAATATATTTTTGTTAATTAAACTTTTATTGTTACAACTAATTTTCAATAATAATTGATAATAATAAGAAAACAAGTTTATAATTAAGGTCTGTTTTCGAAGTGGACGCTTAGCAAAGCAGCATTTTTTATTTTACATGGAAAATTCACAGCTGGCTAGATGAAAATCATTTATAACCACTTTGTATAATTCATTGTCATATTGTAATAATCCTAATAATTAATTAATTCCAAAGTTCTTGAAAAGGATTATGTCCACACTTTTATTTAACTATAACACCTTGTATTTTTCATGTTTTTTCGACTTTTTGCATTTTAATGAATAAGAATAAAAAACGCTTGTAATGTTGGTTGCCTAATGAGTAAAAACAATTTTTCAGTGATTGTCTTTTATTGTTACACAACGTTACATTGCTTACATTGTAACCGTACATTAATGTTATGTGGAATGGAGTAAAATTACACACTGTATACAAACACAATAAATAAAAGCACAACCTGCGTATTTTCATTTGATTTGAAATCGCATTGACATCGACGAAGCTACTTGAAGCAACTTTCAGAGATCTTACCACTAAAGGAACGTCGTAATAAAAATATAATTATGTACAAAATGATTAATTTATGTCTAGAAAGCATTTTTACATTTAGGCAAGTGAATGTTTTCCCCTCACAGTTATTACTAAAAAAGGGTCGGTAACATTGTTTCGTGACCCTTATAGTAGATGATATGTAAGAGATTTATACAAATTGACTACGTAATTATGTACAAAACAAATATCACATTTTTTAAGTCACACAGAGTAACACCACAAATGCGACGAAAACCAAACAAAACAAGAAGAAATAAAAAGTGTTGGTCCTGTATTAAGCACAACTTTGGCTGTGTTCGAGAGTAATTCCGGTCAGTTTGGTTCCTTGCTCCACCCAGTTTTTCAAACGGCCTCGCAACTCTTCAAGACTTTTCGATTTCGCTTTGTTTATTCGCTTGTATTTTACGTCTTTCGGTTTAGTGACTGAGCGGTGGTTTGACATGACTCGATTATACGTTTTCACTTGACTTGTCTTCTTGTCATCTTCACTTTCCTCGGTTTTTTCCATACTGTTGGCATTTTTTCCCTCTTTTTGACCCGCGTTGTTTTCTTCAGTTTCTTCAACATTATACGTCGATTTTCCTCTTGCAGCAAACGCGTCTCTTTTTTTATTCGCATCATTCGTATTGTCACTATTTTGATTTTCATTGTCTGCATCCTCTTCAACACTATATACAGTTTCGAGGATCTCGGGTCGTCTCAAAAACCCGTTATTTCGCCTCATTGAAGTGTATTTAAGACTTGGGTCTATAGCATCGGAGATTGATCTCATGACAGAGTTTCCGGTCCGAAATTTCGGTATTGTGACATTACTGTCCGAATCTATATCTTCCATAACCACAGCACTGTCGGAATCGTTAAGAGAATCCAAATCTGGTAAAGTCGTTTCTAATTCTGCTAATTCTGATTGGGGGACTTCTAGGCCGTTGTCGATGAGTCGATTTGTCAAAGTTTCGATGATTCGTTGTTGGCGGTGGATTATGTTTTCGCGAAGGGTCAGCATAGAGGAGATTTCTTTTTGTTTGCGAATGAGCCGGGACTCGAAGAGAAGGAGCTTCGCGCTGAGGATTTTCAATTGGTGAGCTTTTTCACGTTGTAAGCGCGCTACGAGCGATTCCTGGAAAAAAAAAACGTTTTTTTTAAGTGAGTAGGAAGTTTATACCGCCGTCTGCGTTGATTGACAATAATGTAAAGTCTATCCAATAGGCCAAAATCGTGGTCTGCGTTGAGTGACAGTAATAAAAAGTCTATCCAATGTCAAAGAAATGGCCGTTGGGGGAGCAACGAGTCCGCGTTCCAATGGAATCTGTATACTTTGGTTTAAAACCTTGATAATTTTTTTATACAAAAATTTACTTTTGTGTTTTATGGGTTGTATAATATTTTTTTTGTTGATTGCTATTTGCTATTTCTAAGAACTAGACCAAAAACATCAAAAATTATAACATTTTATAAGCAAATATAATTTTATTTATTAAAAAAATAAAGATTTACATT